AAAAATACAGGAATTACAATATATCCCATCGATAAAACAATAACATCACATCGAAAAAAAAAATGCTGCCACCCTTTGGTACCATCGACTCCATTAACAGGAGGAACAAACCTTTTTTGCGTTTGAGAGCAGTCCGAATTATTGAAACGCATCACGAATGGGAGAGCTTGAACGCATTGCATATACTGTTTCATGATGCACAAGTAATATTTAGTTTTGTTAAATTTATTTTAAATAATTCGAAATAATTTTTTTATTAGTATTTACAATTTATATTGTAGGGTGCATTCATTAAATGCATAATACGTTCTCCAAATATTGAAGCATTTCGAGGTAAATTCAACCAAGGCGAGGTGTACTCAATACAAAACTACAATGTTGAATTTAATAATGGGAGGAGAGATATCACGAACATGTGGAAACTTGTGATTCATAGAAGATCTACTATGCAACTATGCCGGGAATTTCCCTCAATATGGTGATATTTTCCCACACCACTAGCGAGGATCAAGAAGATTGAAGATAATTAGGGTTTGATAAGAATGACGATTTATGTTATTACCTAGAATTTTTTTTTTATTGTCGTTTAATATGTTTGATAAGAATTCCGGTTTATGATAATTATTGTTCGAATATGTTTTTTTTTTATTAGTATTCTATGTTTTTGATTATGTTTCTTTTTATTATGTTTCGGGTTAAAAAATTTATTTGTGTTTTAACTTATCATTGTGCTGAATTTTCATTAAATTACAAGTATAATTAACTGAATTTATTTTTATTTTTTTTTAATTCATCTTTACATGCTTGCAAAGCGATTTATGATGTTTTTTTTTTATATTTAAATATATTTAAAAAAACCAATACTAACTGGGTGATAAATAAACGGGATTTGCCATATTTTGTCAACATTTTCATATATATTTTCTTACATCATGTAATTTAAATTACGAGATAATTGTCATTTCCACTATAAAAATTTTTGATTTATTAGATAAACATATCACCATGACTTCTTCCTAATATAAATATAACCATTAGTAAATCAAAATCGGATTATTTTAAAATCAACTATAATACTTTATTTCCATTAGATGTAAGAACTTTTGTATTACAACATTAGATATTAATAATTTTTTTATTATAATACAACATTATATAACTAACTTCATATTTAATATATAAAATGATTGTAACGTTAAATTCTCAGTTTTAATTATTTTTTTATATTAATATAATTTTTTAACATACTAATGATTTCATTTCATATAATGATATAAATTAAATAATATGATAACAATTATTGAGAGTATTAAATATTAGGAGAATTTAATTTATAACATATGATTATAATTTCCTAATATAAATATAAGCATTATTAAATCAAAATCGTGATATTTACATATAAATTTTATTTTTAAATTTCCATTAGTAAATCATTTTATTTACTAATTAATATATTACATATTAATAGATTTATTTAAAAATGATTGTTACGTTTTATCTCAATTAAATATCTAAGAGATAAATCATTACTAAAAGATTTGTTTCCTTTGTACTTCTAATTCCTTTATACCTCTCATTCATATCTATATATAAAAAGGTTGTTGGAAAAATACATTTATAGTAAGTTTGACTAAAAAATAAAATGTTGACTTTCTAATTTAAGTAAGATGATTAAAATCACATGTGGATAAGTCACATTAAAGAGATAATGCAAATTAATTAATTAGAGAGATAATTAGAATAAGTGGATAAGTCACATTAAAAAGATAATGCAAATTAATTAATTAGAGATATAATTAGAATAAGTGGATAAGTCACATTAAAGATATAATGCAAATCAATTAATTAGAATATGTGGATAAGTCACATTAAAGAGATAATGCACGTTTTTAATTAATGGGAATCCTATTTGAAAAGAAAAGCATTAATTAATTAATGGGAATCCTATTTTTCGAAATTAATATTAATTGAAGAAAGTACATTTAATAGTTTATATTAATAAATATTTGTTTGATTATAATATTTATATTAATTAATTTGTGTTATATAATAATAAATGCAGATATTAACGATAAAAGGATAAATATTAACGCCACAATTCTATCCTAACAAACAATAATTTGTAGATAAGGCTCAATTCCACATTTGTGGATAAGCCACAATTTCACTCATGATCAAACAACATTTTTATAAAATGGTTGAATAAATTTTGCTTCAATCTATAGTATAATAAGTTATATATTAATCTCTAATTTGCAGATAAGTTATTACTTAAATTCGCACGTGGTAGTCCTCTATTCATGCAAAAACAGAAACTGAATTCATAATTAATTGTGTGGAGATAATACTGGATCAAGAATATATGGATAACCGAAAAGTT